GGCCAAATAAATGACCTGTGCCAAATTTCATCCAATTTGGATTACAAATGCGACCTGTACTTTGTTTACAATTTAACATCTACAGACGGACGGACTGACGGACATGCATAAATCAACTCAGAAAGTGATTCTATGCATATTCTCAAAAGGAACCATATGTCTATCTCGTTTCCTTTTGCCTGTTACAAACATATGCACATATACCACAGAGTGGTGAAGGGTTCACCACATGGACGCCGAAGATACAAATGCTGGTCGAAGGAGTACAATTCCGACATGGAATGCTGATCGAAGGAGTAAAATTCCGACCACTAACTATCACGCAATTCTCGGGGTCACATGTTTAAATCGTCCGCTCGGACCAAGGTCTTAATGTCGTATACCGGCAACACTTGTGGCGAAGATAAGGAACCCTTGTTGACCTATTATAAAGTGATAGAGTGGTTTGTGACCAGTTATGCGGCTCCAATGTGGTCCGCGAATATTAGAGCTACTCAATGGAGAAGTATTCAGACATGTTAGAACACCGCCCTGAGAACTGTTACACGGTGCATCCCGTATTCATTAGCTATGCTTTCGTTGCCGTACGTATTTGCCTGCTTCAGAGAGAACGTTCTGAATGCTATCAACATTAAGTACCTCATAATGAAACAGAAGGTCTATTGGCATCAATATTGTCAAGAATTGAGAAACGTAATAAATGGTTGTGTGTGGTTTGAGATTGTGTGTAAAGTAATAACGACGGTTTTTTACTTTGATATTCTCTGTGCAGCTAAATATAAATATTTTAAGTAAATTTGTAAACAGTTATGGACCAGTCTTTGCGAAATTTTGCACGTAGGATGGGTTCTGGCCAAACAAGACCCCTATTGGTTTTGGTAATGAACCCTTAATATTTAGGGGATGAAATGGACCAAAAACATTATTTTTGCCGGTTTTTCTGGTCGATATAGATGCCACAATTATGTCCTGACCATCAGGGAGACGGGGATTTGGCCAAAGAATCCGCAGGTCAAATGGAAATAGATTTTGTGTGAAAAATGACGTATTCTGGGGCGAATATATTTACACTAGAAGGGTATAGAACCGAGAAGTTGATTCGCTCAATATGTCAGTGTAAGGAAGAGGTGCTGTTGACCTCTAATCGGGCAAGAGGGTGCAAATATCACGAAATATTGTCCAGACTCGGAATAAACCTCCGCAGAAAGTTAGAGTTCCGTGGTAGTTGTGTAAGGTATCGAATGGGCGGCCCCGTACGTCTATACTGCTCCGCTCACTGGTTTATTTTTCTTTTTTCGAAATACTATCTGACATACTGTTACAAATATTTGTTATCCATTCTCAAGTCTAAGTTTGTTTTTTACAAAATTTTTATACACTCCACCATAGTATGGAGGGTATATTAGTTTTGTTTTTCCGTTTGTAACGCATCGAAATAATCATTTCCGACCCTATAAAGTATATATATTCTTGATCAGTGCAAAATTCTATGACGATGTCCGTCTGTTGTAATCACTCTAGCGTGTAAACGAATTGAGACAGATTGCTAAAATTTTGCATAGAGGCGTCTTTTGTCTGCAGGCAGGTAAAGTTCGAAGATGGGATTTATCGGTCCACGTTTAGGCATAGCTCCCATATAACAGTACCTCCCAATTTTCGGTATTTTGGGATTCTTGAGCTCATTTTTCAACCGAAGAGGCTGAAATTTGGTACATTGCGTTCTTATTGGGTACTAAATGTCTCCACAAAAGATATAGGTCCACTTTTTCTGGTAGCCTCCATATAACGGTACCTCCTAATTTTCCGTATTTTTGGGGGTTTTGATCGTATTTTCCACCGAATTGGATGTAATTTAGTACTTTGAGTTCTTAATAGATTTAGATATAGCTCCCATACATAGTTTCGTCCGATTTAATGTAAATGGTGTACCAAAGTCCCTATATATAGTTCGATTTGCACGAAATTTGGCACAGCGTACTGAATTAGGTCTGGAATGATGTGTGTTAAGTTTCCTGAAAATCGGTCCAGATTTAGATAAAGCTCCCATATATATTTTCATCCGATTTAATGTATATGGTGTACCAAAGTCCCTATAAATTATTTGATTTGCACGAAATTTGGCACAACGTACTGAATTAGGTCTAGCATGGTGTGTGTTAAGTATCTTGAAAATCCGGGGTCAATGACCCTTAATCCGGATTAAGTGTAATTGACCCCGGATTAAGGCTTAATCCGGATTAAGGGTCATTTACCCCGGATTAATGCTTAATCCAGATTAAGGCTTCATCCGGATTAAGTGTAATTGACCCCGGATTAAGGCTTAATTCGGATTAAACGGATTAAACACCTTAATCCGGATTAAGCCTTAATCCGGGGTCAATGACCCTTAATCGATTTAAGCCTTAATCCGGGGTCAATGACCCTTAATCCCGGATTAAGGCTTAATCCCGGATTAAGGCTTAATCGGGATTAAGCGTCTTTGACCACGGATTAGGGGTCATTAACCCCGGATTAAGGGGTTAGAAATTAAAATATAGAGAAATATACCAAGAAGTGGACCATACCGACATTTCTAAAAACGGATTATGTAAACCATAATATAAATTTCAGAAATTTTTAATGGATAATTAAACGTTCAGCCTTATGGCTAATGAGGTTGTATACACTTTGACACTGTGAAAATGTGCCTCATCGAAATATTGGTTCTAGACCCCATGTTTTTTGGACCAAATTTGTTTCAGAAAAATATGATTTCGTCCAAACTTTGCCCATATTATTATTTCTTCCAAACTTAGTTCAAGTTCGAAGATGGAGAATATCGGTCCACTCCTTCTGGTACCTCTCACCCAGGGGCTAGGCCTAAATGCGGGTTATAGTTCACATATAGTTCATTATCGAACCCTATGTTCTAGTTTTTTATTTGATATCCTCCACAACAGAGTCTTAGAACCAAACCCTAATCGCGGAATAAATTAGATAACTATTTTAATATAAACCTGTAAGGAAAGTAGTAAAGTCGGACTGGGACTATATGATAGAGTCGTCTCCGTACCATGGGACAAATTTATGGAAAACGATTTATAGCAAAATTGATACACGCTATTCGGTACGCCGCATTGTTAAAATTTTAATTTCAATTAGAGAACCGGTCGAAATACATATGGAAGCTATAGCTGCATCTGTCTGCACCAATTTCAACAAAACGCAATAACGTCATTCAAGTCTGAATTTGATATGTTGTGCAAAATTTCGTATTAATCTGACAATGGATAACAGTTTGATATTGTGTTTTGCCAAAATTCCAAATTTACTTGTGCAAATTGGGAGACAAAGCCAAAAAGAAATCAGGACTGCCAAGAATATCATTCTTACCAAAGTCAACATTTGAAATATTTTGTAAATATCGTATGAAGCTAACGGAATATCCGATTTCATCTAAACTTGACACATCGTAATATGTTGGCTTAGTTGATGATGGGGCCTATGGGCCCACTTCTTCAGGTATCTTTCCCACAAAGTGTCAACCTTTTAAAATTTGTAAATCCAATATTAATAGAGTTGAATTCCGATTTAATCCAAAAAATGCACATCGTAACACTTTTACCAGCCTAGATCTTATCCGAAGAGGTGATGAATAGGTCCATTTCTATGTAGTGTCAAATTGTAATGTCTGTAGATGTTAAATTGTAAACAAAGTACAGGTCGCATTTATGATCCGATTTGGATAAAATTTGGCGCAAGTCACTTATTTAGTCCAAGGACGAACCCTATTGAAATTGGGAAAAATCGGCTCAGATTTAGATATAGCTCCCATATATATTTTCGTCCGATTTAAAGAAAATGGGGCACCAAAGTCCCTTAATATATTTCGATTTGTATGAAATTTGGCACAGAGTACTGAATTAGATGCAGAATGATGTGTGACAAGTTTCGTGAAAATCGGTTCAGATTTTGATATAGCTCCAATATATAATTTCGTCCGATTTAAGGTAAATGGTGCATTAAAGTCACTATATATCATTCGATTTGCACGAAATTTGGTATAGAGTACGGAATTAGGACCAGAATGATGTGTGCCAATCGGTTCAAATTTAGATATAGCTCCCATACCGATTCGACCGATTTAAAGTAAATGGTGCACCAAAGTTCCTTAATATATTTCGATTTGCATGAAATTTGGCATAGAGTACTGAATTAAGTCTAGAATGATGTCTGCTAAGTTTCGTGAAAATCGGTTCAGATTTAGATATAGCTCCCATATATAATTTCATCCGATTTTATATAGTTGGTACACCAAAGTCCCTATATATCTTTCGATTTGCACGAAATTTGGCATGACGTATTGAAATGAGCCTAGAGTGACGTTTGCCAAGTTTAGTGAAAATCGGTCGAGATTTAGATATAGCTCTCATATATAGTTTTGTCCAATTTTATGTAAATGGGACACCAAAGTCCCTTAATATCTTTCGATTTGCACGAAATTTGGCATAGCGTACTGAATTGAACCTGGAGTGACGTTTGCCAAGTTTCGTGCAAATCGATCCAGATTTAGTTATAGCTCCCTTATATATTATCGATTGATTTTAAGTAATTGACGCACCAAGGCTGATAGGAACAAAACGTACTGAAATTAGTGTAACCTAACCCGTGACAAGTGACAAGAAATCGGTTCATATTTGGATATAGCATCTATATATATATTTTCGTCCGATTTTAAGTAAATGGTGCATTAAATTCCTCATGTTTTTCAGATTGACATAAAATTTTACACATCGTACAAAACTTAGCATATAGTAGCGTAACAAACGATAAGTTTAGATAAGTATTACATATTTTAGTTCATTAAATTTCATGTTAATGGTCCTGTTTAATATACCCATAGTGGTGAAGAGTATCATATAGTTGGCCCTGTCCGACTTTACTACTTTCTTTACTGGTTTATATTATTCATTTTGACATTAATAAACATTGAGGATTATTAAAGACATTTACGATTTTCGTTAGTCATCATCCGCCATTGAAATAATTTCGAACGATATATTCGCAGAATTACGATACTTTAATGATACACCTTCGCAGAATTCCAATTGCTGAAGCTTTGTATTGGTATGCAGATTAAGGGATCCGATTAATTTGATGAGAATAATTTTTGATAAGTAGATACTGTAACGATTACCTATAAATAGATAAAAATACACACCTTATGTTAATACGTATTAAATAGTATCAAATAACCCCTGACATACCTATGCAGGTTCGTATGCCTTTCAAAAATGGTATATATGCATAAGGATGACGTTTTGTTCCACTTTCACCATTTGTATTTTTCGCAAAATGTTCCGGATAAAATTCACGAGCCTTCGGGCCCCAAACGTCAGTGCTGCGTTGCATTTCGAATATATCGGCAGCTATAATTGTGTTTTTCGGCACCTTTACGATTTTCGTATAGTCGCCATTGTTTTGAGCATTTTTAATCTTTAAATCAAAATCACAACTGACATTTCGTAAAATAATCGGGACAGTAGTTAATAGACGTAGGGATTCTTTTAAAATCATATCCAAATATGGCATTGCTTGCAGATGGGCCATTGTTATGGTAGTCTGTACGCCATTCGATGAGATATTAGTAGTTAATGGAGTTATATCCATGGATAAAACTTCATGAATTTCCTGACGTAATATTGCTTGGTATTCGGGATGCATGGCCAGAAGTAAGAGTGCATTTATGATGCAGGTTGATGCCGTTTCAAAAGACTTAAATCGGAAATGGAAAACATTATTTAAAGGGGTTTTATTATTATAACCTTGGGATGGTCGATTTTTAGTGATACACATACTGAAAAAAATGATATACCGATTTTATTATAACTTCTCCACTTACCACCACTACCATGGACTGGGCTTCATCCATCATCTCTTGATAGCTTAGTTGGTTCTGATCGGTCAAATGAAACAATTGTTCAATGAAAATATGTTTGTCCGAATTATTTTCTGCCACATCATTAGATTCTGGATTTCTTTGTCGTTTATTTTGCCACTCGGAATATTTTTCCCGGACAATCTTAACAAAAATTAGGATTATTTTTACAAGGGCATACACCAAGCTTAAAAAAAACATATGGACTTACCATAGTAGCAAATTCATCTACCAATTTTCCTGTTTTGTGGGTAGTCTCATATTTTTCTTTGTCTAAAAATTTAAATATCCAATCAATTTGATACCAGGGTTTTAACATTTTCAAAGCTGTTAGATCCATTAAACTATAGAAATAAAAGTTTTTTATTGTTAATTACTTTATTTAAAAATAAACTCCGTTTTCAACTTACTAACGATATGCTGCAGCAACACATTTGTCATCGTTCTGTGTAAATCGTGTTGATACACCCATTATGGTTACTGCAATAAGAGACAGTAAGGAAAGGATCATAATCGGAGAGGACCGACTATATGATACCCTACACCATTAAGGAGCTCCTTGATAGCACAGGCGGCTCCTAAGGTTCTTATTGTAACCTACTCGAACTTCGAAGGTTTAAAAAAAGTTCCATCTCTAATAATTGTGATTGCATGTGCACTATTTAGATCAACTCGGTCAAAATTATATATGAGCCCTATATACAAATCGGATACCGTGTTCAAAATACTTTTGTATTACAGAAGATTTGATCGTTGAAACGTTTTAAGATAAGCAAATCTGATAAGACTGTTGTTGTTGATATTTTATGACGCACACGATGGGAAAATTCTCCACAGAACAAATTCTATTATTCAGAACAACATATTATTGATAAGTATTTTGTGTTTGAGATTAGGCTAAGAAAGAGTAGTTTGAGTAGAACCTAAGGATAAATATTATAAATGTGGCAGTCTGGTACTGTTTTATTATAGATGCTAAAGCATGTTTTTCTATAACTAACTTAGCTGGCACGAGGCAGAACGCTTGTTCCATAAACCGAGCTTAAAAAATAATCCCAGGGGCGTCGGTCTTGTGCGCAACTTTTCCAATTTGAAAGACCATGATTCGATATATTCGATATCTTCACTTCGTCTTTCCATCGAATTCGTGGCCTTTCCTTCTGCGTGAACCATCAGCTGGTCCGCTTTTATGCCTTTTGAGCTGGGGCATCCTCATCCATTCTTACAACATGACCTTGTCACAGTAATAGTTGCAGCTCGATGCGTCTGACTATCTACAACTCGTGGTTCATTCAACGGCGATATTTACCATCGGCAGATCGGGCCGTAGGTCCAAGAGCTGTCTCATCTAATTGCGCAAGTACCTACGATTCAGATCCATATAACAGAACGAGTAGTATCAGCGTCTTGTAGAGTGTGAGTTTGGTCTGGCGAGAGGTGGCTGTTGAGTTGCTTACTTAGTCCATAGTAGCATCTGTTGGCCAACACTCATCTCCTCCATTTTTCAATGCTGATGTTATTAGTTTTGTTTATGGCGGTACCGAGGTATATAAAATCGTCCACTACCTCGAGGCTGTAGTTTTCAAGTTCCACAATTGGTCCTAGTCTACTGGACGTCTTGCCCGTTGATACCACCAGATTGGTCTTTTCACCATTTACTGCCAGTCTCACTTTGGCAGACTCCTTCTCAATTCCTTTAAAGTTGGCTATTACCGCTCGCAATGTTCGACCCATTATGTCGTAGGAGTAGGCGAGTAACATATGATGTTTGGTGTACAGAGTGACATTTCCGTTCACATTTGCCTCCAGAAGGGTGTTAAAAAGGTCACACGACAAACTGTCACCTTGTCTGAATCCTCGGTATCGAAGGGATCCGAGAGGTCCTTTCCAACTTTAATTGCCGATATTGTGCCAGTTAAAGTTATCCTGCATAGCCGTATTAATTTTGCAGGAATGGCAGACATGGCTTTAAACGCCTTTGAACGGATAGTTTTTCGTGGGGTTTTCCAGGATCTTGCCCAGTGTTGAAATTTGGTCTATAGTGAGTTTGCTGGGTCTAAAACCGCATTCATAAGGTCCAATAATATCATAATATTATGGTTCAATAATATAATATTCTTTTTCCTGTGAACGGTACACAGGATGCATAGGATCCAATCATTGGGCATGCATCCCTCCATCTAAATTGCACTAATCAGTTGGTGCATGCTCCTGATCAATATTTGACCACCAGTGTTGAAAAGTTTAGCTGGTAACCCACCGGCACCTGCTGCTTTATTATTCTTCAGCCGATTTATTGCTATTCTGACCTTATCTTGGCTAGGTGGTATACAATCTATGCCGTCATCTCTTATTGGTTCTCGAGGTATCTTCTTCACCGCTACTATTTGATACCAGAAACTTTGAAAAATGCTCCTTACAGATCATCTATATCTGTCATCAGATTTCCTTCTTCATATCTACAGGAGGATGTGCCTGCACCAAAGCCTTCGATTTCGTGTTTTACTGATTGGTGAAATTTCCGGACTTCATTCTGACATCTCGATTTGCTCACGTTGTTCCTCTTTTTTGAAAATACTGGAATTTCTACTCTCTCCTCGTGTTGATATACCCTGCGTTTTTCATCTCAGTAGCATTACGACACTCCTGATCGTACCATAGGATCCTTGATGGTGGTCTTTAGTACCCATGTGTTCCTTTTGATACAGTTTGTAAGGAGTGGACAAATCTTTGCTTATATATTATTACCGGTACAAGGAGAGCTTTCGACTAGCATGTGGGTAAGTTGAGCGGAGTAGGCTACAAGGTAATAATCGATCAAGACGTCCCTCACAATGTCATTCGTATAGTTTCGTGAAAATGCTCTCTGGTATATATTTTTATTAGAGACTTCTGTACCATTGGCACATTTGCTTTAATGGGAAGGTCATCAACATCAGCATTCCCATCATTGACCGTTTGCTTCAGAAGTATCGAATAACCACTACCCGACTTGGAGTTAGGTATTCATTCTTCGCCTAGACTTATATCCTCTAATATTAGCATTGATGCCTCACGTCGATTTAAAGGAGTCACTTGAATTACCGTTGTGTTATCCACAGGGTCTAGTCATCCACAGGGTAAGTCATCCCAGCATACTTCCTTGATTGAGACGGAAGGAGAAGGTCCATATGTCTCTCCAGCCTGGCGTTTATGTCATCGAGATTAAAGGGGTTGGGAGTATATAGAGAAAGGTTTCATAGTACATATGGAATAATCGAAGTAATTGGAGCTGAGGTGGAAGATTTTGGACGGGTAAGGATCGGATCACACACCCCTTTGTCGTGGAAACGGCTTGAAGAGGTAAATACTAAGAGTGCCAATGCAGACACATCAATATCATTTAATTTATCGTATTCATTATTTCTAATTATTTCATAGAGGTTTTTTGATTGAAAATTTGAGGTCGATCATGGCATAGCATAATATCATAATAAGAACTTGTCAACGAAGCCTAAATAACTTGTTGATGCACCGTTCCGTTCGTTACTTCATACAGTAAAATACGACGTCGCTTAACACGCCTGCATTTAAGGTGGTCACTTTAGGTAGGAGCTGAACTGAGGCTCCAATCTCGCCTCGTCGATTTTGCGTTTATAGCAGAGCTCTGATTTGCTCGATTTTACTCGCGAGTGAAAAATACTCCCGAGCGGGAGTAAGTAAAGAGTACGAGTTTTTTAGGGAGTATACTCTCCACTCTTTTATTTTGTTTGGAAGTGCTCGCGAGTACTCCTTGTTGAAGAAAAAGAGTGTGAGAGAAAACGTTCGAAATAGAGTAAGAGTTCACTCTAAGAGTGAAATCGAGTGGACAAATAAATTTGGTTGTTTGGTTATTTGTGTGTGTGTAGTACCATTTTTTTTTTTTTTTTTTTTTTTGATGTTGATCTTTTGTTTGCTGTGGGGAGATAGATCATTACAAAAATGAAATGACTTACAGAACGCAGAAAACGAGCTTGTTGATGCATGCTTTCCCAGCAGTACTGCAAACCAAACATCACAAAGCAAACAAACAATGCACACAAACAACATCAAGTAAAACAACGGTATCACAAAAAAAAATTATAATAAAAGAGTACTCGGCAAGAGTGTAATCTGCTCGATTTCGAGCGTATTTCACTCCCACTCGAAAACGAGCGAAGCACCTCCGCTCTTATTTGAGTGGCAGAGAAAAATAGAGTAAACTCTATTTACTTTTTCTACTCGCAGGAGTACTCCCGCTCGAATTCGAGCGAGTTTCACTCTTTATTCGAATTCGAGCGAGCATTTCGGAGCTCTGGTTTATAGACACTCGGTCACTTCGTCCGAAACTCTGCCCCAAAATCCGCTGGCTGTGGGTGGACGCATTCAGCTCTTCTCCCTCCATGTTACAAAAAATATGTTCCTAGGAGAAAACTCATGTTCTGAAAGGACCTTGAACATATCGAACCAGTAAGGAAAGCAGTAAAGTCGGACTGGGCCGAATATAAGATACCCTTCACCACTTTGGGTATATTCAGCATATGTATCCTAAAGTTGAAATTATATATGGAAGCTATGCTATATCTAAACCGATTTCAAGGAAACTTATCAGAGATTAATTTATATTAACTTCAGTACGTTGTGTCAATCGGCCTAGCTATGGATCGTTAGTGCACCATTTACTTAAAATCGGACGGAAATATATATAGAGGTGTATGCAAATCTGAACCAATTTTCACGAAACTTTACACACATCATTTTAGATTTAAATCAGTACGCTATCTCAAAGTCGAAAGATATATGGGGACTTTAGTGCACTATTTAGATAAAATCGGACGAAAATATATATGGGAGCTATATCTTAATCTGAACCGATTTCCACGAAACTTTGCACACGTCTTTCTAGACTTAATTCAGTACGCTATGCCAAAATTCGTGCAAATCGAAAGATTTTCAGGTAGTTTGGTGCACCATTCACCTAAAATCGGGCGAAACTATATATGGAAGCTATATCTAAATCTGAACCGATTTTCACGAAACTTAGCACACATCATTCTAGAATTAATTTGGTATGCTATGCCAAAATTCGTGCAAATTGAACGATTTTCAGGGACTTTGGTGCTCCATTTACCAAAAATCGGGCGAAACTATATATGGGAGCTATATCTAAATCTGAACCGATTTTCACGAAACTTAGCACACATCATTTTAGAATTAGTTCAGTACGCTATGCCAAAATTCGTGCAAATCGAACGATTTTCAGGGACTAATGTCCATAAATCGGTCAAAACTATATATGGGAGCTATATCTATTTCAATACGGTTCGTCCTTGGGCCAAATAAATGAGCTGTGCCAAATTTCAGCCAAATCGGATTATAAATGCGACCTGTACTTTGTTTACAATTTAACATCAACAGACGGACGGATATGCATAAATCGACTCAAAAAGTGATTCTATGCATATTATCAAAAGGAACCATGTGTCTATCTCGTTTCCTTTTGCCTGTTACAAACATATGCACAAAGACATAATACCTTGTTCCACAGTGTGGTGAAGGGTATAAAAATACGTGAGTGGGGCTACCCTGAAACTTGGGTCAGTATTAATATTTTTTGGGAGGAAAATATGCAATGAGAACCTTTCTAGTTCGTATACGTGCTATTAATTGAGAACCAATTCGGTCGAAAATCCCCAGAATACGGAATGTTTGGAGGTAATGTTATATGAGGAATACCCTGAAACTTGTGTCAATATTAATCATTATACCCTTCACCACACTGTGGTAGAGGGTATTATGTCTTTGTGCATATGTTTGTAACAGGCAAAAATAATCGAGATAGACCCATGGTTCCTCTTGAGAATATGCATAGAATCACTTTCTGAGCCGATTTATGCATGTCCGTCCGTCCGTCCATGTATTTTTGTTAACAAAGTACAGGTCGTATTTATGATCCGATTTGGATGAAATTTGGCACAGGTCACTTAATTGGCCCAAGGACGAACCCTATTGAAATTGGAGAAAATCGGTCCAAGTTTAGGCATAGCTCCCATATAAGGGTACCCCCCAATTTTCTGTATTTTGAGGTTATTTAGCGCGTTTTTTAACTGAATTCGCTGAAATTTGGTACTTTGAGTTTTTATTGGGTAGCAAATCTCCCTACTAAAAATTATAAATATAGGTCCATTTTTTCGGATAGTCCCCATATAAGGGTACCCCCAAATTTTCGGTATTTTGGGGGTTTTGATCGCATTTTTCGACCGAATTCGCTGAAACTTGGTACTTTGAGTTCTTATTGGGTAGCAAATCTCCCTACTAAAATTATAAATATAGGTCCATTTTTTCGGATAGTCCCCAATTTTCGGTATTTTGAGCTCATGTTATAACTAAATTCTCTGAAATTTTGTACATTGGGTTCTTATTGGGTGCCAAATTATTCCACTAAAAATTATAAATATAGGTCCAGTTTTTCTGGTAGTCCCCAAATAACGTTTTTTTATACCCTTCACCACACTGTGGTACAGGGTATTATGTCTTTGTGCATATGTTTGTAACAGGCAAAAATAATCGAGATAGACCCATGGTTCCTTTTGAGAATATACATAGAATCACTTTCTAAGTCGATTTATGCATGTCCGTCCGTCCGCCCTTCGTCCGTCTGTCCGTCCGTCTGTCTGTCCATGTTAAATTGTAAACAAAGTACAGGTCGTATTTATGATCCGAATTGGATGAAACTTGGTATAGGTCACTTATTCGGCCCAAGGACGAACCCTATTGAAATTGGGAAAAATCGGTTCAGATTTAGATATAGCTCCCATATATATATTTAACCGATTTAATGTAAACGGCCCATATATATCTTTCGATTTGCACGAAATTTGGTACAGCCTAATCATTTAGGTCTAGAATGATGTCTGCCAAGATTTAGATATAGCTCCCATATATAGTTTCGTCCGATTTCATGTAAATGGTGCCCCAAAGTCCCTATATATCTTTCGATTTGCAAGAAATTTGGCATAGCGTACTGAATTGAGCCTAGAATGCTGTCTGCCAACTTTCGAGAAAATCGGTCCAGATTTAGATATAGCTCCCATATATAGTTTCGCCGGATTTCATGTAAATGGTGCACCAAAGTCCCTATATATCTTTCGATTGGCACGAAATTTGGTACAGCCTAATCACTTAGGTCTAGAATGATGTCTGCCAAGTTTCATGAAAATCGGTCCAGATTTAGATATAGCTCCCATATATAGTTTCGTCCGATTTCATGTTAATGGTGCCCCAAAGTCCCTATATATCTTTCGATTTGCACGAAATTTGGTATAACGTACAGAATTGAGCCTAGAATGCTGTCTGCCAACTTTCGAGAAAATCGGTCCAGATTTAGATATAGCTCCCATATATAGTTTCGTCCGATTTCATGTTAATGGTGCCCCAAAGTCCCTATATATCCTTCGATTTGCACGAAATTTGGCATAACGTACTGAATTGAGCCTAGAATGATGTCTGCCAACTTTCGAGAAAATCGGTCCAGATTTAGATATAGCTCCCATATATAGTTTCGTCCGATTTCATGTAAATGGTGCCCCAAAGTCCCTATATATCTTTCGATTTGCACGAAATTTGGCATAACGTACTGAATTGAGCCTAGAATGATGTCTGCCAACTTTCGAGAAAATCGGTCCAGATTTAGATATAGCTCCCATATATAGTTTCGTCCGATTTCATGTAAATGGTGCACCAAAGTCTCTATATATCTTTCGATTTGCACGAAATTTGGTATAACGTACTGAATTGAGCCTAGAATGCTGTCTGCCAACTTTCGAGAAAATCGGTCCAGATTTAGATATAGCTCCCATATATAGTTTCGTCCGATTTCATGTTAATGGTGCCCCAAAGTCCCTATATATCTTTCGATTTGCACGAAATTTGGTATAACGTACAGAATTGAGCCTAGAATGCTGTCTGCCAACTTTCGAGAAAATCGGTCCAGATTTAGATATAGCTCCCATATATAGTTTCGTCCGATTTCATGTAAATGGTGCCCCAAAGTCCCTATATATCTTTCGATTTGCACGAAATTTGGCATAACGTACTGAATTGAGCCTAGAATGATGTCTGCCAACTTTCGAGAAAATCGGTCCAGATTTAGATATAGCTCCCATATATAGTTTCGTCCGATTTCATGTAAATGGTGCCCCAAAGTCCCTATATATCTTTCGATTTGCACGAAATTTGGCATAACGTACTGAATTGAGCCTAGAATGATGTCTGCCAACTTTCGAGAAAATCGGTCCAGATTTAGATATAGCTCCCATATATAGTTTCGTCCGATTTCATGTAAATGGTGCACCAAAGTCTCTATATATCTTTCGATTTGCACGAAATTTGGTATAACGTACTGAATTGAGCCTAGAATGCTGTCTGCCAACTTTCGAGAAAATCGGTCCAGATTTAGATATAGCTCCCATATATAGTTTCGTCCGATTTCATGTAAATGGTGCACCAAAGTCTCTATATATCTTTCGATTTGCACGAAATTTTGGTACAGCCTAATCACTTAGGTCTAGAATGATGTCTGCCAAGTTTCGAGAAAATCGGTCCAGATTTAGAAATAGCTCTTGTATATAATTTCGTCCGATTTCATGCAAATGGTGCCCCAAGGTCCCTATATATCTTTCGATTTGCACGAAATTTGGTACAGCCTAATCAGTTAGGTCTAGAATGATGTCTGCCAAGTTTCGTGAAAATCGGTCCAGATAAAATAAAATTGGGTATCAAACTCCTCATGTTAGTCAGATTGACATCAAAGTTTGCACATCGTACAAAATTGAGCATAAAATTATATAGTTGCGTTTTCTAGAAGTACAGACATAGCCCAACGGATGACCTATTTATATTTGTTTGAAGTCGATTTACATACTTTATGGATAGATCTAGTTAGATTCACATTTAGATAAATATCACATATTTTGTTTCATCCAATTTCATGCTAATAGTCCTGTTTAATATGCCCATAGTGGTGAAGGGTATCATATAGTCGGCCCCGTCCGACTTTACTACTTTCCTTACTGGTTTTTTTTTTTGTAGTCGTATATGGTAACAAACCTCCCTCCCAAAAATTATTAATATTCGCCCCCTTTTAGGGGTAGTCCACATATAACCCCCTTTTGTTACCCTTCTCCACACTGTGGTACAGGGTATTGTGTCTTTGTGCATATGTTTGTAACAGGGAACAAATCGAAATAGGCCCATGGTTTCTTTTGAGAGTATGCATAGAATCACTTTCTGAGTCAATTTATACATGTCCGTCCGACCGTCCGTCCATGTTTTTTTGTTAACAAAGTACAATTTATGATCCGATTTGGATGAAATTTGGCACAGGTCACGTAATAGGCCCAAAGACGAACCCTATTGAAATTGGGTATTGAATTAGGTCTAAATAGTTATATGCCAAGTTTTGTTGAAATTGGTTCAGATTTAGATATGGCTCCGATTCATAGTTTCGTCTGATTTAATGTAAATAGTGCACCAAACTCCCAATAGTGGTCCGACTTAAGCAACATTTTGCACAGAGTACTGAATTAGGTCCCGACTGATGTATGTGAAATTTTTTTTGGAATCGATTCAGATTTAGATGTAGCTGCTATATATAGTTTCGCCCCATTTTATATAAATGAAGCTCCATACTGCCAATATTTATCCGATTGAGACAAAATTTTGCAAAGATAACTGAATTAAGTCCCGACTGATGTATGCGAAATTTCTATATCTACAGGATATTGTAGATATTAACATGTCTTGCATGTACCCATAGTGGTGAAGGGTATCATATATCTATCTCTATCTCTATCTTAAACATTATGATTTCTATCGTGATTTCATCAGACGGACATGCGTAAATCGACATAGAATTTTATTCCGATCAAAAATCTATATATTTTGTGGGGTCTCCGGTGAATATTTCGAGGTATTGCAAACGTAATTACAAATTTAATATACACTCCACCTTATGTATACCCTCCAATACAAATATATCAAAGACATAATTCCACAGTGTGGTGTATTACTATCGCATACTTACAACATGATGCTTCTAGAACCGCACGATTAACCAAATCCGCCAATTGATCAAATGATATTTTATTTTGCTTCAGTTCCAATTTCAATTTGATATTCAACTCGTTTCCGACTCGATTGAAATCATTGAAAAAATTTATGAGTATATTATGACTGAATGCAGGATTCAATTGTTTGCGTCGGATTTTCCATTTGTCATCTAAAATGGTAAAGGTGATGTTAGAGGTGTTTAATTTTTCAAAACATTACAATTATTGTTTCAAAAAAAAGATTACCATACCTTTTGCATGTAAAATACCCTTATTAGCATAAAATCCATTGTGCAGAAATGATTTGTTGAGACATTCCGGTGATGTTAGCACGCCTTCTATAGACACTGGATCGTTCATATATAAAAGAGTTCGATCGAACAGTACAATAGCCAATGGCAGTTTCATAAATTGACCATAACGATGAATGCTTGACATAATATCTGAAATAAAAACCATTTATACATTTAGTAAAAATGCAATAATATGTATGTTCGTTTACTCAATAATATGTATAAATTGTGAAGGTTCTGTAGTACCATCAGCAGATTTTTAATCAGAAGTTTTCTGGCCAATGTGTAATTTAAGAAAAGAAAAATCCAAGATGAAATAAACATTTAATGACATTACCCACTAGTAAAATCTACTTTAATGTCATCAACGTCATTATGGGAGGGAGCATAGTCATTGATGTGAGTGCTCATATTTAAAAAGTCACATTCTGTACTTGTGTTAAGAATAGCGTGGGCGAAGTGCAGCGACTTCCACGTGTCCGTTTCCTGAAATTTCTAGTAGTTGGACACTCAAGATTACATTCAAGTCCGCTTGTGGTGCACTACTTAGTACTACGGATCTTCTTAGTACTCAGGATCGACGTTGATCGCTGTACGCTACAAATTTTAACCAGCAGTGTACGTTTGTTGACCCCAGCCACCATTCCAGGCAACGATATGGTGCAAATTCTCCTACCCTTCAGATGGTATTAAACTCGTCACGTATGCTGATGATTGTTCGATCCTTGCCACTGGAGTATATCTAGTGGAAATCGAAGACAAAATCAACTCCTACTTGTCTTCTGTAGCCGCATTCTTTCAGGGTAGAAACTTGCAGATGTCTCCATCTAAATCAACTGCCCTTATATTCACATCGTGGTCAAAGGAGGTCAAGCGGCAACTAAACATATCGATCAAAGGCAGGAACATTCCAACGGTCCAAAATACTAGGAGTCACCTTTGATAGCCTCCTGACATTCTCCAGGCACGCCGCAGCGCTGAAAATAAAAGTCCAGAAACGAAACAAGGTGCTCAAAGCCATCTCGGGCACCACATGGGACAAGGAGGAGCTCCTGACTACTTACAAAACTGCAAGTAGATCTGTCCTCAACTATGCTGCCCCAGTTGGTACTTCGTTCATCAGCGATTCGCAATGGAGAATGCTTCAAACCACAGTGAATAATGTCATATGTACCGCAACCGGATGTGTCCAGATGACGAGTGTGGACCATCTGCATCAGAAGGCAAGGATACTGTCAGTGCAGCAACATAATGTGTTGCTCACAAGACAGTTCCTTCTGGTCATCTGGAATGACATCAAGCCATACAGCAACGACATCCAGAAAGTTATTCCATATGACATCGACCGATTGTCATTAGCTGCATCGCTGAGAACTGTTCACACTCAGACAGTTCCGCAAGCTGTCAATGAGCATCTTCGTCCCATTGATCTGTGGCTGAGACCAGTTGAAGTGACGACTTTTTTGCAGCTTCCAACCTAACATTTTACCACTACACAACCCTTTCCATTAATCCCTTAACTTCACACATTAACCAATTACAATCCACAATTTTCCGCATCCACCACATACACACATCATCCACATTCAACCTCGCATCTAACATCCGATTCTATCCACAAACCAATAGTAGACACAGGCTCAAAATATAAAGCTAACATTATTGAATTATTTCAGGGAAAACGGGACAGTCAAACTGTTACAACAACAACCATATATAAGTATGGGGAATACATACAAGCAGTGCACAATCTCGGGGTTTAGTCCCCAAATTGTACCTATAGAGTTCTTGCAAGAATAGAGTGCTATTAAACCTTTCTTAGTGCGTTCTTCAGCACTCCTTTTCCACGTCAGCCTGTGGTCAAGGACTATACCTAGGTATTTTGCTTCTAAGGAAAGGAATATGGTCACTCGGGCCAAAGATGGCAGACGGAAGATTGAGATCTTACGCTACCTAGTGAAGGGTAAGATCCACTTCTGATACTACTAACCATAGAGTTGCTTTCTTATATTTAAGTCAATATCATATTCAAATATAAAATAAAATTATTAAAATTTAATTAATTCAATTTGGGTATCGAAGTTACAGCGTAACATTTACTGAGAACGCAAACGAAAACACCTAATATTTCCGCAATGACCTATTTTTGAATTTATTGTTCGTACGAATATCACCGATCAACGACTTTACATAATATACAATATTGTACTTAACTTTTTGGATCAATGTTGCAAGCCAATAGTATCCATAATATGGGTTGCTGAATAATGCCACGCCATCCGTTTACTTGCCATACAAGGCGCCAACATTTTCGTTGTAGAAAAATTATTATTAACACCAGTATCACTAAGAACTCATAAAACGGCATGATCACGTTTTAATTGTACGCAGCGACAATACACATCGATTTTTAAAATTGTAATTTGTATGTAATAGGCACCTGTATCGTATATGTGTTTGTTTATTGTTTAATATTTTCTAATTGTTATTTTCAAATACTTTGTTCTAAAACTAAGCGGTAAGTTGTGAACACTTAAGAGGGATGCGAATAATTGATTTGTTGTAGCTTGCAATAAGCGTCTTTTATAGTAATGATTTCGAATACCATTTTTAACCACCTTCATAGGTTCGTGACTGTTTTTCAATGGGTGATTCAATAAAGAAAAATCCTCATGGAAAAAATAATTTTCACATTTTCATTAATGGCCATTTTTGACAATTTTTCAATCATATAAGAGTGCAGAACATTTCAATACTGATCGAATGATCTGACCATAGCTAAGAAATTAACGTAAACATTTTACGCAACATGTTCCATGTTCAGGCATCAGCATAAACGCAACAAAAATGAGAAAGACACGAGAGTTCCAAACGTAAGCAATACGTTTTGGATCTGCTTGAACTCTACCAATGAGATCTCGGTTCTCTAAGTAAACTTGAGAAAGATGCGACCTGTTTCACTTATTTCAATTATTAAAAGCTGCTATAAATTGATTATATTTAAATAAACTCTGTGTAAAGAAGTATTCGGTATTTGGTGATTGGATGGTAGTTGATTATGGATCCAACATCCATGACAACGCAAAGGTCGCGATAGTTGTGGAATTTTTAATAAGAACACAACTTACTTACTTAGCTGGCTTGTTACAGAACTGTTGTTCCATAGGCCGAGCTTAAAAAAGATTTCCAAGCGCGTCGGTCTTGTGCGCAAGTCCACCAATTTGGAAGACCACGTTCCAAGATGTTGTTTTCTACTTGGTCTTTCCATCTAATTCGTGGCCTTCCCCTTCTACGGGAACCATCAGTAGGCTCATTTTTATATGCCTTTTGAGCTGGGGCATCTTCATTCATCCGCACAACATGGCCTATCCACCGTAGTCGCTGCAGCTCAATACGACTGACTATGTCGATGTCCGCGTATAAATTGTAGAGCTCGTGGTTCATTCGACGCCGATATTCACCGTCGACGCAGATCGGCCCGTAGATCTTTCGGAGAATTTTTCTCTCAAACACCCCAAGCGCTGCATCATCTGCTTGCGCAAGTACCCATGCTTCTGATCCATATAATAGCACGGGTAGTATCAGCGTCCTGTAAAGTGTGAGTTTGGTCTGGCGAGAGGTGGCCTTGTTTCTAAACTGCTTACTTAGACCATAGTAGCATCTGTTGGCCATCACAATCCTTCTTCGAATTTCAAAACTGATGTCATTCGTTTTATTTATGGCGGTACCAAGGTATATAAAGTCTTTAACTACCTCGAAGCTGTAGTTCTCAAGTTCCACAGTTGGTCCGAGTCTACTGGACGTCTTGCGCGTTGATACCATCAGCTTGGTCTTCTCGCCGTTTAGTGCCAGACCCACTTTGGCAGACTCCTTTTCAATTTGTTCAAAGGTGGCTGTTACCGCTCGCAATGTTCGACCCATTATATCGATGTCATCGGCGTAAGCGAGTAACATGTGTTGTTTGGTGAACAGAGTGCCATTTCTGTTCACCTTTGCGTCTCGTATGACCTTTTGCAGTAGGATGTTAAAAAGATCACACGACAAACTGTCACCTTGTCTGAATCCTCGTTCGGTATTGAAGGGCTCCGATAGGTCCTTTCCTACTTTCACTGCTGACCTTGTGCCGCTTAAAGTTATCCTGCATAGCCGTATTAATTTTGCAGGAATACCGAACGCAGACATGGCTTTAAACACCTCTGAACGGATAGGGCTGTCGAATGCGGCTTTATAGTCGACAAATAGGTGGTATGGTCGATGTGTTTTTCGTGAATCTTTTCTAGGATTTGGCGCAGAGTGAAAATCTGGTCAATGGTGGATTTGCCAGGTCTGAAGCCGCATTGGTATGGTTCGATTATGTGAATGACCATTGGCTTCTATCGTTCACACAGCACACTGGATAGCACTTTATATGCGATGGGAAGGAGACTTATTCCTCTATAGTTGGCACATATCGTCTTGTCTCCTTTTTTGTGCACGGGACACAGGATGCTGAGGTTCCAATCATTGGGCATGCATTCATCTAGCCAAATTGTGCTAATCAACTAGTGCATGCTCCTGACCAGCATCTGGCCACCAGTCTTGAATAGTTCGGCTGGTAACCCATCGGCTCCTGCTGCTTTGTTGTTCTTGAGCCGATTAATTGCTTTTATGACCTCATCTTGGCTAGGTGGTTACACTCTATACCACCATCTCTTATAGGTTCTGGGGTATCTTCTTCATCGCCACTATTTGATACTAGAAGCTTTTCGAAATGCTCCTTCCAGATCCTCAACACGCTGTCTGTATCTGTCACCAGGTTTCCTTCTTCATCTCTACAGGAGGATGTGCCTGCACCAAAGCCTTCGGTTTGGTGTTTTACTCGTTGGTAAAATTTCCGGACTTCATTCTGACTCCTGTACATCTCGATTTGCTCACGCTCACGTTTTTCTTGTTCTTTCTTCTTTTTTCTGAAAACACGTTTCTCCTCTCTCCCTTTCTCCCGATAATTCTCCATCACGTTACGTGTTGCTACTGTCTGCAGGGTTGCCCTATACCCTGCGTTTTTCACATCAGTAGCATTACGACACTCCTGATCGTACCATGGGTTTCTTGGTGGTGGTTTTTGGTATCCAATTGTTCTTTTTGCTGCAGTTTGTAGGGAGTGTGCAATTCTTTGCCATTGTGCTTCTATACTATTTTCGGGAGAAGAAGTGCTTTCTTCAAGCAGATGGGTAAGTTGAGCGGAGTAGGCCTCGGCTAACTGTTGTGTTTGCAGCTTTTCGACGTCGAGTTTCCGTGTTGTATTAGATCGCACCTTTGCTGCAACATTAAGACGGGTGCGAACCTTGGCTGCCACAAGGTAATGCTCCGAATCAATATTCGCTCCTCGGATCGATCGGACGTCTAAAATACTGGATGAATGCCTTCCGTCTATCACAACATGATCAATTTGATTTCTCGTTACTTGATCAGGAGAGATCCAGGTGACCTTGTGTATATCGAGATGCTTGAATCTGGTGCTGCTAACTACCACGTTTTTTGCTGCCGCGAAGTCAATCAACCTCATGCCGTTTTCGGATGTTTCTTCATGAAGGCTGAATTTTCCGACGGTGGGGCCAAAGATATTTTTCCTTCCGATTTTTGCATTAAAATCTCCTAGCAGAATTTTAATGTCATGGCCAGGGCAACGGTCATATGCTGTTTCTAGGCGCTCGTAAAATATGTCTTTAGTCTGTTCATCTTTATCTTCGGTCGAAGCATGGGCGCAAATTAGACTGATGTAAAAGAACTTCGCTTTTATACGGATTATGGCAATTCGCTCATCTACTGGAGTGAATCTGGAGACGAGGTCTTTTATTCTCCTATTAACCATAAATCCGCAGCCAAATTTATGTCTCGTTTCATGGCAGCTATAATACAGGGCGTAATCGTCTGATTTACTTACGCCTGTCCCTTTCCATCGCATTTCTTGTAAGGCAATAATATCGGCTTTGTACTTCTTGAGTATATCCGCCAAAGCGAACACTGCGCACATTCCAAGTGCAGATTCGCAGATCGTGGTCCTTTATACGTTTGCGGGGTCGTCAACATTAGGGGGGTTTGGTTTTCTTTTTCTTAGCTTTGTCATAGTAGATTGGGGTTTCCGAGAGTGGGCAACTAACCCGACGCCTCAACCCATTTTTTTATAGTTCTTATGGGTGAACTCGCGACACATATTAGCTCACTATTTCATCGGGTGATGAGAATAGCTCCCCAGGTGGCACCGCGGGGAGGTCAGTGTCCACAATTGAGATGAAAGAGGGACCAAGATAAGCCTGGACTTCGCCATGTTAAAGCCAATCAGAGCCGTTGCTTGGTATCTATCACTGGAACATCGGAATCCGAAAATTCCAACGGTGTTAGAAAGAGTACATGTCTGGCTCTCGTACGAACTAGGATTATTGACTTCGCTCTAAAATTAACAAAATGGCGGACCTTTGAAAAAATATTTTTGGAAAATCGCCGATTTTTGACCAAAAACCAAGTTAAAAAATAAGGAAGATCTTCACCGATTGGCTTTATCCTAGTTCTTACGATAGCTATACACTCACAATTGGTAAAAAATTGGAATCGATTGGGTTATTAGTTTTTGAGTTATCGTGCCCGCCATTCGCAAAAGAGAAAAGCGCGCTTAAAGTTTGAGAAGCCCTTTAGCTGTCACTTGATGCTGACACAATAAATCGGCTATATCTTCAAGAGTTCTTGCGATTTTCACTTGAAATTTTGTAGGGACATTCTTGAATTAGATTAGATTAGATTCAAATTAAATGAAAAAATCTTTGACCCCGAGAATGAGGGGGTCCCCTTAAGAAAAAAAATATTCAAAGATGAAATAAACATTTAATGCCATTCCCCACCCAGATTTCCTGTTAGGAAAATCTACTTTAATGTCATCAACGTCATTATGGGAGGGAGAATAGTCACTGATGTGTCTGCTCCTATCTAAAAAGTCACAATCTGTAATTGTGTTAAGAATACTAGCGTGGCCAAAGTGCAGCGACTTCCAGGTGTCCGTTTTCTGAAATTTAACCAAAATATCCAGTAGTTGGGCACTCAGGATTGCATTCAAGCCCGCTTGTGATGTACTTATTAATGCTAAGGTAATCAGGATCGACGTTGATCGCTGTACGCTACTAATTTTAGCCAGCAGTGTACGCTTGTTGACCCCCTGGCACCATACCAGGCAACCATATGGTACAATATGCAAATTCCCCTTCCCTCCAGATGGTATAAAACTCATGCTGATGATTGTTCGATCCTTGCCACTGGAGAAGATGTAGTGGAAATCGAAGACAAAAATCAACTCCAACTTGTCTTCGGTAACCGCATTCTTTCAGTTTATAAACTTGCAGATTTTTCAATATTCACATCGTTATAAAAGGAGGTCAAGCGGCAACTAAACATATAAAAAAACAAACATAAACTAAACAGAGGCAGGAACATTCCAACGATCCAGAATCCTAAAATACTAGGAGTCACCTTTGATAGCCTCCTGATATTCTCCAGGTACGCCGCAGCGGTGAAAAAATGTCTACAAGCGAAACAAGGTGCTAAAAGCCATCTCGGGCACCACATGGGCCAAGGGCAAGGAGGTGACTACTTACAAAACTGTAAGTAAATCAGTCCTCAACTATGCTGCCCGGTCCTACGTACCGCAACCGAATGTGTCCATATGACGAGCGTGGATCATCTTGTATCAGAAGGCAAGGATACTGTCTGTGCAGCAGCATAATGTGTTTGTCACCAGACAGTTCCTGCTGGCCATCTGTCCACGGATCCCAACCACCATCTTGTGGTTCAGGATCCATCCCCTCGACACATCCGGAATGACATCAAGCCATACAGCGACGACATCCAGGAAGTTATTCCATCCGACATCGACCGATTGTCACTAGCTGCATCGCTGAGAACTGTTCACACTCAGACAATCCCGAAGAAATTTGTCTCACTTGCAAGCAGGGCCGCATGATACAGGTCATCTATTTTCATGTCCACTTCAGCCCACGGATCTTCGTCCCATTGATCTGTGGCTGAGACCAGTAGAAGTGGTGATTTTTTTTTTTTTTGCAGCTTCCTACCTAAGATTTTACCACTACAAACCTTCCCATTATTCCCTTCACGGCACACATAAACCAATACAGCCAAACTGTTACAACAACAACCATATATAAGTATTGGGTATACATACAAACAGTGTATAATCTCGGGGTTTAGTCCCCAAATTCCTTTTCTACGTCAGCCTGTGAAAAAGGACTACACCTAGGTATTTTGCTTCTAAGAAAAGGATTATGGTCACACCGCCCAAAGATGGCAGACATAAGTTTGGGTTCTTACGCTTCCTAGTGAAGAGTAAGGTCCACTTCTGATACTACTAACCATGGATTGTTTTCTTATATTTAAGACAATATCATATTCAAATCCAAAATAAAATTATTAAAATTTAATTTGGGCATCGAAGTTACCGAGTAATATTTACTGACAAAGTAAACGAATACACCCGCAATGACGAATTCATGGTTCGTACAAATATCACCGATTTTCGACTTTTATTATATAATATACAATATTGTACTTAACTTTTTGGATCAATGTTGCAAGCCAATAGTATCCATAATATGGGTTGCTGAATAATGCCACGCCATCCGTTTACTTGCCATACAAGGCGCCAACATTTTCGTTGTAGAAAAATTATTATTAACACCAGTATCACTAAGAACTCATAAAGCGGCATGATCACGTTTTAATTGTACGCAGCGGCAATACATATCGATTTTAAAATTGTAATTTGTATTTGTTATGGGCACCTGTATCGGTGATGAGTTTGTTTATTGTTTAATATTTGCAAATTGTATTGTTTTGCTCAAAAAATTGGTTCTAATGCAAAGCGGTAAGATGTTAACACTTAAGAGGGATGCGAAGAAATGTTTTGTCATAGCTTGCAGTGAGCGTCTTTTATAGTTCTGATTTCGAATACGATTTTTTTTATTTTTTTACTCACCTTTATAAGGTCGTGACTTTTTTGCAATGGGTGATTCAATAAAGAAAAATCCCCATGCAAAAAAAGTAATTTTCAAATTTTAATTCATGGTCAAAAGATGGAAATGCACGAAGAACTTGTAAGAGCTTAGATACGATGCTGAAGGACTTGATTGTAATTAAAGCGGCCCCCCCCCCCCCCCCCCCCCCCCCCTATTTTTTTGGGGGTCCAATTTTTTTTTTAGTATTATTATTTTTTTTTATTATTATTTTATTTAATTCGAATCTAATCTAATTCAAGAATGTCCCTACAAAATTTCAAGTGAAAATCTCAAGAACTCTTGAAGATATAGCCGATTTATTGTGTCAGCATCAAGCGACGGCTGAAGAGCTTCTCAAACTTTAAACGCGTTTTTCTCCATACATCGTTTTGCGAATGGCGGGAACGATAACCCAAAAACTAATAACCCAATCGATTCCAAATTATTACACGTTTCTCTGTGAGTGTATAGCTATCGTATGAACTAGGATAAAGCCAATCGGTGAAGATCTTCCTTATTTTTTATCTCGCTTTTTGGTCAAAAATCCGCGATTTTCAAAAAATTTACGAAATAAAAGAAATTGAATTTGAAGGAAATTCGCAGATTTTCCACAATTATCTGCAGCAGAATCACAATTCATGATATGCAGCACTGGTTCTTCGCCCATTGATACCACAAAAGTTCATCGAGCTTCAGCATTTGCAGGAATTAATTCAGTGCCCAGTCAGATTTATTAGGTTTCTTTGCAGTTGACAGATACAGACAGCGTGTTGAGGATCTCGATGGAGCATATTGCAAAACTTCTGGTATCGAACAGTAACGGCGAAGAAGATACCCCAGAACAATAAGATATGGCGGTAAAGTTTGTATACCACCTAGCCAAGATGAGGTCAGAATAACAATTATTCTGCTGAAGAATAATAAAGCATCACGTGCCGATGTATTACCACACGAACTACTCTAGGCCGGTGGCCAGACGCTATGATTGGAACCTCAGCATCCTATGCCCCGTGCACAAAAATGGAGACAAGACGGTATGTACCAACTATAGAGAAATTAGTCTACTTCCGATCGCATATAAAGTGACCGACTGAAGTCAATGGTCAATGACATTATTGGACCATACAAATGCGGCTTCAGACCTAGCAAATCCACCTAGACTAGATTTTCACACTGCGCCAAATCCTGAAAAAGAACAACGAAAAACACATCGAAACATGCCACCTGTTCGTCGACTATAAAGCAGCATTCGATTCAATGGGGCAGATCTTGGAGTGTTACAGAGAAATTTTCTCCGCCGATCTATGCCGGCGGTGAATATTGTCGTCGAATGAGCTATACCATCTATTCTCGGATGGATCGAGCTCCAGCAACCAAGTGATGGTTCACGCAGAAGGGAAAGGCCACGAAATTAGATGAGCTGCGCACAAGACCGACACTCTTGGAAATCTTTTTAAGCTCCAACCAGCTAGGTAAGCAATATAGTTTCTTTATGAAAGTGAAGTCAGCCACGATGGCTAAACCCATGGTGCAAAAATATTCTGATCTATGCCTTGGCACAATAAAAAAGAAATAAGTATTTGGGCTTTTCGATAATAAACCAAGTATTTGCGATTTTTTCGCAGATCAAAATTCGACTATTAAGGGCTAAACAGAATGTTCGCGTTGGGCGTTTTTTGTTAACGCACGCAAAAAGTAAAAATATTGTTACGAATATAAATTTAGATTTAAGTTACTTTAGATGAATTCCGTTAATTTAAGAATTGGAATTGTAACGTAAATTTCTACTACGCAGTTTATTTGAATAACTTCACAACAACAACTACTGTATAGATTTTTCTACATCCTTCCATTTCCTCTTTCATTGTCTATTTTTTTGTTGACGTACAATTCTTGTTAAACGTCATCATGGATGATCGCTTAATTCCTCTTTCTTTGTTACCCCCTCACCTGTATATGTGTTGTTGTTACCCAGTAAACAATTTTTTCCGACTGCTCTGATTTTAGATTTTTTTCCGAAATTTCTGACGTTTTTTTCAGAAATTTCTGATAGAAATTGGTCCGATTTTCTAAACGTTTTTTTTTTTTAGAATTTCTGCACATTTTCCTGTGTTTTTAAGCGAAAAAAACTCGAAAAATGTACAAACGGAGAGAGTAGATTGTGTATTGCTCTGGCATATGCATATCAGAAATTTCTGAAAAAAACGTCAGAAATTTCGGAAAAAAATCTAAAATCAGAGCAGTCGGAAAAAATTGTTTACTGGGATATTCTCTCCCACATGTAAACGGATGGTGGTGGTTTGACACATTCTCTCCCATAGTAGTTGTTGTTGTGATCATTCATTTCAAGATCTCAACAACAACAAAGCGCAAAGCAAAAATGCTATTTGTTATTGTTATTGTGAACTGTTAGATTTTCCGTTGTAAAAATGTGCGTTTTGTTGTTGTTGTGAATCAGCCTCTTTCTCTTTCGTTCCCAAAAAAATATGATGGAAAAAAATTGCAAAAACAACTACATACCGGTTTTCTGTGTGCACTGCTTTTTATTTTTAGTTCTTGTTTAGCAGTTGAAAGAGAAACGTGCTTCGGTATAGTTGAATTAAAGTGTTTACAAGAAGTGTTCAAAAAGTGAATTAAAAATTTCCAGAAGGTGTTTAAAATTAAAAAACAAACAAAATTGTTTATTACAGGTAAGAAAAAATTATAAAAATGTCACGCCGATCTATCAAAAGAAATGCAAAAAAACAGGCTCAAGAATTACTTTGCAAATTATTGAGTGAACCTCATAACGAACCATTAGGTGCCAAAGCAAGTATTCCTGGTAGCGACTCCCAAAAAGAAAATAGTATAGGGGATCATATCGCGGATGTCCAAATGTCATCTCCGGAAGAAATTAACGAAATTAAAAGTAATGATCCAAATCCTTCATTTGGAAATGCATGTTGCAAAGAAATTAGTGATGATCTCAATTCAGACCATTCAATAGAAAATGATTTCGATTCAGACAATTTAAGAGAAAGTGATTTTGACTCAGACCATTCAATAGAAAATGAAAGTGGAATAAGTTTGACAACATTTTTATCTGATTGGTCTATAAGGCATGCAATATCGGTGAATGCTATGAATGAGCTCCTTCGAAAATTAAAATCTGTTGACCACACCTTGCCCTTAGACGTTCGCACTCTACGTGAAACGCCCAAAAATACGGATATAATGGAAATGGGTAGTGGGACATACATGCATTATGGTTTACAAAATTGCTTAACCGATTTTTTTTTTTCAACAAAGCGACGAGGTTGATGACTCCAGAAATATTGTACTAAATTTTGGTATAGACGGTCTCCCTCTTTTTAAGAGCTCTAAAAAATGTCTTTGGCCGATAATGGTCAGCATTCAAAATTATGAACCGGTATTCCTCGTTGGGGTTTATATTAACGTTGATGTAAATAATAGATTAGATAAATACAACAAACCCAACGACCCAAATATTTTTTTGAAGTACTTAGTAGAAGACCTTTATAAATATCAACAAGAGGGATTTCTGTTCCGAAACCAAAGGTATAATATTCAAATAGGTAATTTCATCTGCGATGCTCCAGCCCGTGCTTTTGTGCTCAATATTAAGTCCCATTCAGGTTATTATTGCTGCTCAAAATGCATGCAAAAAGGCGACTATTTCGAGAGAAGAATGGTATTTCCACCAGAAGCCTCTGCAGTTCTTCGTACTGATGAGTCCTTCAGAAATAGAACACAACCAGAACACCATACTAAATTAGAAAATTTAGTATTAGAGACTGTTGGTGTTGGTTGCGTCTCACAATTCCCTCTTGATTATATGCACGTTGTGTGCCTCGGGGTAGTGAAGCATATGGTGAAAACCTGGATAAAATTAAAAAATCAGGATTATAGTTTGAATGGTGACCAAGTAAGTTTAATAAGCCGCCGAAACTCTAAAGTAGCTAAAGATTTCCCCTCTGAATTCAATAGAGTCCCTAGGATTCTTGATGAAATTGACAGGTGGAAAGCTTCAGAATTTCGATCTTTTCTGCTTTACAGTTCTATTGTCGTATTAAAAAATATTTTAAACAGTCGTGCCTATAAAAATTTCCTAAAGTTGCACATAGCAATTAGAATACTGTCCGACAGTAGTATTTGTAACGAATTCAATAATTATGCAGAAAACTTATTATTGGAATTCGTTGTAGAGTTAGAACAAATTTATGGTAAAATTTTTCTAACATACAACATCCATTCATTGCTACATTTAGCTAAAGACGTTTCAAACTATGGAAAACTTGATAATTTCAGCGCATTTAAATATGAAAACTATCTTTACCAACTTAAAAAGAAAGTTAAAAATGGAAAAAATATTCTCTCTCAACTTTCAAACAGACTTGTTGAGCAGAGCATTATCCTTAAAGAGAAGACCAATAACATTAACATGCCTGTACTGAAACATCCATTTGGCGAAAACCTTTACAAATGTGTTATAACTCAACATGGAAAACATTCCACAAAGCACCCAAACAATTTAATAGAGTATTGTAAAAACATTTACATCATTAGAAAGGTTAAAAAAACTAATAGTACCATCACTTTAATTTGCAATAAAGTAATCAATCTTGACATGTTTTTTGATATAGATCAAGCGTTATGTATTGCCTTGGGCATATTTCAAACACAATCCGAAACGTATTGTGATAATGATATTGAAATTTCAATATCAGACATCACCAGAAAATATATGAAGTTGTCTGTTGATTTACTTACAGTTTTTCTACCACTATTGTAAAATGGAACCCAATAATAAACAACACTCGGAGCTATTATCCACAATACTGGCTCAAAATAAGAGCCTAATTGAACAAAACCACGCGATTAAAGCTTTATTAGAACAAAGCACAAATAAACTTCAACAAGAAGTAGAAGCTCTGAAGGCACAAAACGTTAGACAAACCGAGGAAAATTCCAAAATATACACCCACTTCACAACTGAGTTCTTTCAGTTAAAAATGACTGTAGAAAACGCCATGAAAGCAGTACAAATGAAAGGATCAGTATTTTCCGTTGAACAACTATGCTCCCCTGAAGAAGTATTAGACTTCGAAAGAAGACTGAAGGATAATTGCGAACTGAAAAACAAACTGGTAAGTTTCTAACCCACATTTCTTTAATAGGTATGTACTCAAATCAATATTTATCTACAGATTCAACGTATAAAAGCACAACCCCATGACGATATAAGGAAATTTGTTCAAGAAAATGTAAAACTAGTTTTCCAGACGGACGAAATTATCACACGATTTTCATGGAATAGTGCCAACAGAAATATACCTGTAAAAGATATGCATTACATCAAGCTTATAAGAGGTTTGTATTCGCTATTTAAGATTATGGATAAGTTAGATTACATGTACATATGTATGTACTTTAATTGTTATATAGATACAGCAATAGATCATATCCCGGGCACTGCTGCAAGTACGATAGAATTTCATATTAAGAATTTCTTTAATTCGGCTAAAGACCGCCAAAACAAACGAAAAAGAAAAGCAGAATCGAAAAAATCTCAATCGGACAAATCTGAATCGGAAAAATCTGAATCGTAAAAAATTTAAATAGTCCTGTGTATTATATTGTTTTTATTATACAGGGACTCAAAAAATTAATTGTACACTTCTAATATTTGAAAATAAACTCCAAAAAAATACTAGGGGTGTACGGATTTTTTTTTTGGTCACTGTACACGACACAAATTATTGAAAGACTGAATTAATTTTATTTTTATTTTAAAAAGATACATTGAATTACAAAAATTATATATGTATATAATAACAACAAATAATTGAATTATCTGTTATCTGTTCAACTAATAAATATAAATAATATAAATAATAATAAATTGTTTGTTTTTTAAATAAATATGTGTTTTTTTTTCATTTTTAAGTGGTGTGACGATTTTTTCGATATTTCTTCCGAATTCTGAACGATTTCTTTCAGAAAATCGGAACTTTCTCCCGAATTCTGAGCGTTTTTTTTTCAGAAAATCTGATTTTTATTCCGAATTTTCTTTCGAAAATTCGAAAATTTCTTTCAGAAATTCGGAGTTGTCCTCCGAATCTTTTCCGAAAATCTAATTTTTTCTCCTATTTTTTCACCGAATTCGGACCGAATTCGTTCAGAAAATCTAATATTTTTTCAGATTTTTTTCAGAAAATCTTTCCGAATTCGGTGACCACGTCCATACAACTTTCGTACCGAAATCGGAAGGAATTCGGAATCAGAATCGGACATTTTTTCAGAGATTCTGACAGAAATCGGACCGAATTCGGCAAAAATTGTTTACTGGGTATTGTTTGCTCAATGTATGTTTGTATGTGTTGTTGTTATTGTTTACTCAATGTAGGTTTGTATGTGTTGTTGTTATTGTTTGCTCAATGTAAGTTTGTATGTGTTGTTGTTATTGTTTACTCAATGTAAGTTTGTATGTGTGTTTGTTGCATTGGTAGATTGTTCGTGATCTAGGTGTTACCAGATCGTCTAGAAACTTCTGTAGCTACAAGCAAGGCTCATATAAATAGGGGAAATGGAAAGGCAGTGAGGCAGTTGTGAATCAGATCGCGAATTGAAACCGTCGTGTAAAGTAAAGTGCAAAGTAAAGTTGTGTGAATAAAATCATTGTAATAATCGTAATCAGAACGAACCCGGGTTTTATTTGGTACGAACTGTATCGGGAAATAAAACAACGTCTACACGGGAATAAGTGAAGTCCAAGAACGTAACAATTGGTGTCGGAAGTGAGATTACGATAATACTACGATGAAGTTTAAGGATCTACGGGTGGAAGACTTGAAGAAGGAGCTCAATAAATTGGAATTGTCCTCTACTGGCAACAAGGCTGAGCTACAAAAACGTCTGTTGGATGAGTTCGAGCGCCGGGGTATGAACATCGATACATATGAGTTTGACAGTAAGGATGAAGTGGATTTATCGGAAATGGGCGAATCCAACGGTGGGGAAGTCTCGTCAGTAGCTGTCAGGGGTGACGATTTCAGAGAAATGCTGGCTAAAATGTTCGAAGAGAATTCCAGAAACACGAGACGAATGTTCGAAGAGAATTCCAGAAAGTCAGAAGAAAACTCGAGACGAATGTTCGAAGAGAATTCCAGAAAGTTAGATGAACTCAAGGCAGAGAATTGTAGAATGAACGAGAAACTCGAGAACATTACAGAAGTTATTGGAAGGAGAGTGGAAACCGTGGAGGTCCAAATTAAAGAGTTGGATAAGAAAGTGCAGTCGGTTGACGAGAAGATTCTGTCTGTGGATGAGAAATTTCTGGCCCACGACCACAGGTTTACGAATCTGGAGAAGAAAATGTCGGAACTGGAAATTAAAGGTGGTCCGGTGCGAGTTCCTGATAACACACTAAAAATCAAACCTCCTGTATTCGACGGCACTACGTCATTCAATGTTTTCAAGTTACAGTTCGAGACAGTGGCTTCTAGAAATTCGTGGAACGACAGCGACAAAGCGGTTGCACTACTTCTGGCATTGAAGGGCAGTGCTGCTGATGTTATACAGAGTATTCCTGTCGCTTCTAGGAATAACTATGAAGATGTTATTGCTGCACTGGAACGTAAGTACGGTGGCGAACATAAACAAAACATATACCTTATGGAACTAAGGGGAAAAGTACAGAGGGCAAACGAGACGTTACAAGACTTTGCAGCTGAGGTGGAACGTTTGGTGCTAATGGCGTATCCAGGAGAGAATCACCCATTGCTGGACCGTATGAAAATCGAAACCTTTGTGAATGGCATACGTGACCCTGAGATTAAATGTGCAATATATGCGTCACCAAAAGCGTCGTTTGCCGAAACTGTGTCGTTTGCCCTTGCCCAAGAGACGGCAAGAATGATTGTTAAGCCCCAGACCCACAAGATTAGCCAACTGGAGACCGAATGTTGCGAACACAAATCTCTCGTTAACTTGATCAAGGACGCCATGAGGCGGGTAATAGAAGAAACAAAGTTTGTAGGGATGACTAAGCACAGGGTTAGATGCTACAACTGCGATAAAGCAGGTCATATTGCGCGCGAATGCAGAGCTAAGCGCAAACGATCCAGGTCATCGTCACCACCCCCAACGAAAGATGGTAGAAGAATGGCTCAACAGTCCACCAATGAGTCACCGTTAAACAGAATCGAGCACAGAGAAGGCGGAAAACACGGTAATGCTGATGCCCTGTCTCGTCGGCCATGCAAGGTAGAATACAGCCACTGCTCAAAGGCTGAGTGCAAAGAGAATATCGTGGATGTCCGACGATTGCAGTTTGAGTCGGGAGAAGATTGGTCGACGGAACAACGAAGAGATCCCATTCTGGGCAAAATAATTTCGGCCATAGAAACGGGCAAGCGACCTAGTCGCAAAGAAATTACCTCCGAAAGCCCTCTTTTAAAATCCTATTGGGCCCAGTGGGACAGTCTACTTATAATAGATGGTTGCCTGTATCGCAAATGGGAAAGTGAGGACGGTAAATCTCACCGGAACTTGATCGTCGTCCCAGATTCCAAAATAAGAGATGTCTTGTCGGAGTTTCATGATGGGCCAAGTGGAGGACATCTTGGCATAGCAAAGACCGCTGAAAAGGTAAAGCAGAGATTTTACTGGGTCGGCTGTCAAAAATCCATTGCCGACTGGATCGCCAATTGTGAAAGGTGCATAAGAGCTAAAGGTCCAACACGGAAGAGTCGAGGCTACATGCAGCAGTATAATTCAGGAGCCCCTTTTGAAAGAATCGCAATGGATGTAGCTGGACCGTTCCCAACAAGCGACTCTGGGAACCGGTATGTCTTAGTGGTCATGGATTACTTCAGTAAATGGCCAGAGGTTTATGCTATCCCAAATCAAGAAGCCAGGACAATTGTGGATGTGTTCAGCAAAAATTGGATTTGTCGCTATGGTGTTCCATCTGAGGTTCATTCCGATCAAGGTAGGAATTTTGAATCAGCGATCTTCAAGGAAATGTGTGACTCCTACGGAATCAAGAAAACCAGAACGACGCCCCTACATCCACAATCAGATGGCATGGTGGAAAGATTCAATCGCACCCTGGAAGAACATCTACGGAAAGTGGTGGACAGTGGCCAACGAGACTGGGATGAGCATATTCCAAAGTTTTTACTGGCTTATAGATCGGCCATTCATGATTCCACATCCCGGACCCCAGCCAAAGTTCTGTTCGGAAATGAATTAAAGCTACCTGGCGATTTGATATTCGGTGCTACCCCAAACGACGATGTGAACCAAGAAGAAGACAGTCAAAACTCTTTTAGTAAAGTCCACGATGCAGTCCGACATCGAATAAAAATGGTTAGCAACCGCATGAAGGCAAGGTACGATCGAGCGGCAAATACCGATGGGTTTCAAGAAGGGCAACTGGTACTATTGTTCAACCCACAACGAAAGAAAGGACTATGCCCCAAATTGCAAACGCACTGGGAAGGACCCTACAAGATTGTCACGAAAATAAATGACGTCGTTTATCGCATCCAGAGGAGCGACAGTCCCAGGTCGAAGATGAAAGTTGTACATTTGGAGCGGCTGACCCCCTACGGAACGGGAACTGTGCCTATTCGGGACGAACAGGCTTAAGCGGGGGGCAATGTTACGAATATAAATTTAGATTTAAGTTACTTTAGATGAATTCCGTTAATTTAAGAATTTGAATTGTAACGTAAATTTCTACTACGCAGTTTATTTGAATAACTTCACAACAACAACTACTGTATAGATTTTTCTACATCCTTCCATTTCCTCTTTCATTGTCTATTTTTTTGTTGACGTACAATTCTTGTTAAACGTCATCATTGATGATCGCTTAATTCCTCTTTCTTTGTTACCCCCTCACCTGTATATGTGTTGTTGTTATTGTTTGCTCAATGTAAGTTTGTATGTGTTGTTATTGTTTACTCAATGTAAGTTTGTATGTGTTGTTGTTATTGTTTGCTCAATGTAAGTTTGTATGTGTTGTTGTTATTGTTTACTCAATGTAAGTTTGTATGTGTGTTTGTTGCATTGGTAGATTGTTCGTGATCTAGGTGTTACCAGATCGTCTAGAAACTTCTGTAGCTACAAGCAAGGCTCATATAAATAGGGGAAATGGAAAGGCAGTGAGTCAGTTGTGAATCAGATCGCGAATTGAAACCGTCGTGTAAAGTAAAGTGCAAAGTAAAGTTGTGTGAATAAAATCATTGTAATAATCGTAATCAGAACGAACCCGCGTTTTATTTGGTACGAACTGTATCGGGAAATAAAACAACGTCTACACGGGAATAAGTGAAGTCCAAGAACGTAACAACGCGAACATCCTGCTTAGACCTCTAAGGGCTAAGCAGAATGTTCGTGTTGAGCGTTTTTTGTTATCGCGTTAACTCAAGCAAAAAGTTAAAATATATTTAACTCCGAAGCGCAGCGCACATCAACTTCGAGCGTTTGTGTTATCGTTTCCTTGTGGTTGTTGTATTTTCGATAACATATAACGCGACGGATGTCTCAACGCGAGCATTCTGCTTAGACCTTTAGCCCTTTTAAGGTTCTGCACAATGATCGCGTTACGCGTTTTTTATCGCGTTAACGCACACAACGCATTTCGACATTTCCATACAAAAAGTCAATTAATCGATTATTCGAAAGTCGATTTACTTATCCCTAATTTGCACTTTTTGTGTGAAAAAAATACAGTTCTTACTGACGTCTATTCAGTAAAAAGAGTATTTGAATTGCATTAATTTTTCCTAGCTCACTGGCCTTTCGAAAATCCTGTCAAAAGAAATATGCCCTCCACTACGCAATCGAACCGTACTTCCCTTAATGCTGTCCCCCGAAAGGGACGAGGCTCTTATCCAATTAACACAAGGTCGTGTGCCAGTCTTCTCACACGATATTGTGCCGGATTATTTGCGTACCAAACCGGAACCAATGGCCGAACAAAAAATGTTGCAAAATGAACAGAAGGCAGCAAATTTGTCGGCTGAAGCAGCGGCCAAACAAGTGGCCCAGCACAATAAGGTAGTCTCACACATACTAGATATGGTGAGTAAAAAACGCGAAGAATGGGACATTGAGTCATCATCCAGGGCTGGCATACAACAAACTAGCAGTATGGCTGATACTAATACCCTAGTGGCTGCAGTTGGTATGGGTAAGGGCTTGAAAATGGTTGTGCCCGGTGGCGGTCCTGGTAGTATGATGGTACCGCCGGCAATTCGTCCACCAGCACCGATGAGTTCCGTTAGTCCTGGTGGTGTAAGTCAATTGGGTAAAGCACCATCGGCCATAAAGACAAATATAAAATCTGCCATGCAAGTTCATCCGTTTCAAAGATAAAACAAAATGTTTCCGATAATATTTGTAGTGTAGTTTTAAGAGAATAAATGCGTAGTTGTAAATTGAAAAATGAAATATGTGTTATTAATACTATCGGTTTGTTATAAAAACTGTTATAAATATTATTCAAAAATGATTTTTATAGAAAAAAAACTCTCAAATACTTGCGTGGACAGGTTAACACTGACATTAATTCATTAATTGTGCTTTGTTTCCACGTTAAATTTTAATCCTGGAACATTAGACTAGCTAGAAAAACTACCAACTTTTTATTCTAAAATAGGAACTCGACCTGTAATTTGGAGCGAACCAATGTTATGTCTCACAGCGTACAAACGGCTATTTCTGTTTATGAATTAACAACAAAGTTTTGATTTTTTATAAAACAATATAGTAAAAAATATATATTTATAAACATAAAAACTTGCCAACAATTTAATAAATTTCTAATCCATACCATCACCATTTGTTGGCACTACAGTTTTCCATTCATTGGGATTTACAAATATATCTGAAATTGTTCCACGTAATGTAAATATGCCACGATTCAATGGTACGGGCTTTGGTTTCTTGGCAGCATCCGCTAACCATTTCTCCCATGCTTCTGCGGCTGCTTTACGACGTTGTTCTTCCAGTTCCCTACGTTTCTGTTCTTCTTGTTGTTTTCGCATACGGCGACGTTCTTCCTGTAGACGTTTCGTTCGCTCCCATTCATCTAAATGAGTTTTATCTTGGCCATTGTTTATGTTTGAACGTAACGATTTTTCGGAAGTATTCGAAATAGATGTTTGGCTTTTCAAAATTAATTTTGAATTGGAAACGTTAATACTATGTTGGGATAGTTGTTGTTGTTGCTTTTGTTGTTTGCTTTTATTTTCTAGCCATTTTTCATATTTTTCTTTTGATATACGTTTACGTTCTTCCAATTCCTGTCGTTTTCGTTCTGCTTCTTCCCGGCGACGGGCAGCCTCAATGGAATGAAGTTTTCTGCGGCATATGTAAAGAAATATATTGTTATTTTAGTTAATGCCTCAATTTTCTAATACAACAATTTTGATATGTTAATTGATTGATGATATGTTAAGATTATAAAATTGAGTCCAAAATTACAACATAGGTCGCTTATATAATTAATTCCGATTACATGTATATAGTGCAAATAATACATGTGCTATATCTATTTTTGAACCGACAAAACTTGTCATTCTAGCCTTAATCTGATATGTTAGGAAAAATGTCCTCCCAGTTATTATTGTTTTTATTACCTTTTTGCTGATAACCACGTTTCATAAGCCAATTCTGGTTGTCGATGTATTTTAACTGAATAGGTCATATCATCACTGGCTGTTGGATAATTCTCTTCCGATTGTAAATCTAATGGTGGTACAATGTCACCCGGTGTCTCAGTTATTGTCCTTTTGAATTCCTCAGCTGTATAATTATCACACTCCTGTGGACAATTATTTTCCGAATTCGATATTAATTGGTTACAGGAATATATCGGGTTCCTGTAAGAGCAAACATGAACAAATGTTCTCGATTAAATCACTACATACCGAAAACTAAACGTTGGTTCACAACTACGACTACTCAGATTCCATTCATTAGAGTTTTGATCCGATGGCCAAGAATTTAAACTTATCGTAGATGCACATCTTATCATTGTGCTGTTAACTGGTCGTGGTGTATAGAATGGCATATTGTTGTTAGCTGTGGTTGTAATTATTTATGAAATATATGCGAAAGAATTTGATTTTTTTTTAAATTGTTTAATTGACGTTGTTTTTTTAATTAAAAAAGCAAAATAAAAAATACAATAAAAAATCACACATGAAACACCGTATATGTAGATACTGTATAATTCCATTTTATTTATTCAGAGTCAAGAGGTGCTATTTTATCGGTTTGGATTGCCGTAAGTGTAACTTTAATATCCGACAGATGAATTGATGTCTACTGAAAACTTTTGCATCTTGTTCGATGTTAGTGGAAACAAGTGAAAAAGCGTTAACTTTGGATACCCTCCACCATAGATATACTAAAAGGTACTTGAAATGAAAATTTAGGGAAAATACCAAAAAGTGGACCTATACCGACATTTCTACAACGCGATGTTTCAGAAAATGTTTATTTCATCCAACCTGTGCCTATCTTATTATTCTTCCAAACTTAGTTCAGGTTCGAAGATGTGGACTATCGGTCCACTCCCTCTGATACCTCCCACACAGGTGCTAGGGACTAAATGCGGGTGTTAGTTCATGTACAGTTCATTATCGAACCTTACGTTCTAACTTTATCTCGATATCCTCCGCATGTTAAATGATTACGACGGACTCTTAGAACCAAACCCAAAACACGGAACAAATTAGATAACTATTTTAATATAAAAAGGGGGTTATATGGGGACTACCCCAAAAAGGGGGCGAATATAATTAATTTTTGGTAGGGAGATTTGTTACCATATACGACTACAAAATACCAAATTGCAGCGAATTTGGTTGAAAAACGCGCTCAAGAACCCCAAAATACCGAATATTGGGGGTACCCTCATATGGGGGCTACCTGAAAAAATGGACTATATTCATAATTGTTTGTGGAGAAATTTGGTACCTATTAAGAACTCAAAATACTAAATTACAGTCAATTCGATGTAAAAATACGATCAAACCCCCCAAAATACTGAAAATTGGAAGGTGCCGTTAAATGGGGGCTACCAGAAAAAGTGGACCTATACTTATAATTTTTTGTGGAGACATTTAGTACACAATAAGAACCCAACTTACCAAATTTCAGCGAATTCGGTTGAAAAACACGGTCAAGAATCCCAAAATACCGAAAAATGGGGAGTACCCTTATATGGGAGCTATGCCTAAACGTGGACCGATATATCCGATCTTCGAACTTGACCTGCCTGCAGACAAAGACAACCCTATGCAAAATTTCATCGCCCTATCTCAATTCCTTCAGAAGATAGCGTGATTACAACAGACGGAGAGACGGACGGACATGGCTAGATCGTCTTAGAATTTTACCCTGATCAAGAATATATATACTTTATAGGGTCGGAAATGAATATTTCGATGTGTTACAAACGGAATGACAAAATTAATATACCCTCCATACTATGGTGGAGGGTATAAAAACACTTTTAGTTAATATTATCAAAACAATGTTGCATTCGGCCTAATGCGGCATAACGGTGGGGTTCCACACTAGCTCAGGTGGGAGCGTTTTTTATTCAGGGGGGATTTTTAACCCTGCCACCATTAACCCTAGGGAATGAACACTTTAAGGAACTTTGGATCAACACAAAACAAAGACGAATACAAACACAACATAAAACCATGACACAGGAGCTTGATGGAATCTGCTCCTCCACTTCGCCCACCCATCCTTGACCCTTTTGATCCTAAATTTAAATTGAAATATAAAGGGCCCCGTACACCACTTACACTTACTCACTTACAACATACTCGTAGTTTTGGCTCTCACACAAAGGAAATTAACACAACATATTTAAAATTTAAATTCTAACATAAAAACAATTTATTGAGCTGGTCATTTTCCTTAATAATAGAACAAAAAAAAAACTTGAAACATTAATAACTATAAATTTTCTTCAAATTGCGAGTCGTTTACTCGGATCACCCTCTTGTTACTTCAAAATTATTGCCAATTTAGGCCATTTTACGAAAAACACTTAATACCTGCCTAAATGAGCTCTTTTAGGTGGTTTGGGACATTACTTTCCGTCCACAAACAATTTATAAATTCCAAAACCAAATTTCAAGGTAATTTGGGGCAACCCTACACTCAAATATATATGACAGACAAGTAATTAATGTTCCTTACAAAAATTATTTAAAACATTTAGACAATACAACTTAACCTAGGTTATAACATATACACGATTAAACTATTTATTATATATATTTTTTTTTTTTAATTTTAAATCAACTTGTTTTTCTTTTGTTGTTCTCTTTTTTAATTTATATTCATTTTGTGCCTTTTTAAATTATATATTTTAATTAATTGAATTTTGTTCTTCTTTTTCTTTTTTTTTAGATTTCAATAAAGTGGTGCTTTGACTTTTTCTTCAGGCAATAGTAAGTATAAGCCTTATTCTATTTTACCTGGACTTAGCCAATATTTTACATCAACATTTATTTCCTCTTTCAGGAGCACTCCGCACATTTCCTTCGGGGTAAGGCAGACCCCGAGACTTTCTTGGCGGTGTAGTTGGCGGTTTTGTGGTGTGGCCGAAAATCGTTATTATGGCTGTTAGCCTGGCCAATATTTGCTGTTGTGCTGCTGTGGCCAATAAAAATGAACTGACCCCTCCGTTTTGCTTTCCGGGGAGGTCAGTTGACGCCTTTGTATATTTATTTGTTGGCGATACCTACAAACACAGAAAACAAATCACAAACCACTCATAAATTTACAGAATTACACACAACACAAAGACTTCACACTTACACTGCGTTTCTAACGCCCACGGCAGAATTAAAAAATATATATATATAGGCGAATTTCAGCCTTTAATAAATTTATTAACCAAAAAAGGATTTTTGTTTTAATTTTCGAAAATAATTTAAGACAACTGTTAACTGTTTTCGAGTGCACCACTGGGGAAATGAAGGAGAATTTTTCTTTTTGGAGCTTTTTATACTCCTGTAAGGACGCCGAATTTTCCCTCCTTACCAGGTTTTTCCTGATTTCCCTGACATTTACCAATTTTCCTTTGTCGATCTAGCCAGCCCTTAAACATATCGCAGGGTTGTATTTTCGATTAGCTCATTTCTTCGCTAATCGACTTCAATACAACCCTGCCAGTGGCGGCAATTCAAAATAACCCTGGGGTAGAACATTTCCGCTTCATTTTTTGGACGTGGGTTGAACTGGAGATTTGTTTGCGGAGTTTTGCATGGCATTTTTTTTTAATAAAAATTCCACACGCAACAAAACTTCTCAATTTGTAACCATTGGGAAGCAAATTGAGATGTGCGTGGTAATGAAAAAATAAAATAATTGTTGGCTAGAAATGCAGGTAAGTTAATCTAAAAAATTATTTTTTTGCAAATACCTAACCCTTCTTCTTTTCCTTTCAGAAAACTCATGGTGGCACATTTTTTTGCGTGGCTTGTGTTTGGTGTCTCAATGAGGTACGTGTGTGTGTGTTTGCGTGTGCGTACCCACGCTTCTTTCAATGCAGCTGCTGCCGGCGCAACACATTTGAAACCCAACGTATGTGTGTTTGGTAGCAGAATCATGTGTGTGCCTTACTAAATACATTGGTTTTCATTCAGCTGCTTTCCATTCACACACACACACATACCTGCATGCGGCTTTTGGGGGAAAAACGCAGCAGCATTTATTGCAATGAATGTGCATTACGTGCGTAGCGTCTTTACTTCAATGGAGGTTATGGTAAGAAATGTAAAATATTTTGATAATTGATAATAATGATTTATGTGTGTTACTTTTCAGAATTTGTGCAATTGTATATGCGATATTATTATTATTTATTATGTGTCTGATTAATAACCTTTTTCCTTTTCATTACAGGTAATAAAAAGAACGTGCACTTGGGAAAAGCCTTGGTCACTACCCAAAAAGAATCTTGGAGTTTTTTATGGACAGATGGGTGAAAGATTGTTTGATGCAGTTTTGCATTCAATGCGTGGCGTATTTGCCGCAATTTCAACGCTCCAGTTACTGGTCTTATTTTGTGATGGAGGTGAGTACTCCTGGCTTCCAATTGTCTTTTAAAATTTTAATTAGAAATAGTGTGTATATTTGTCTGTGCTATTGTGACTATCTTGCATGTGTGTTATTAATTAGTTGTTGTGGGATCCCAAATTTATATCATTTTTTTACGAATTTTCTTTTGAATAATTTTATTATTTCTTTCCAGTGAATCCTTTTGATTGTAATTTTTCCAAATTTTCATTGCTAATTATGATTTCACTAATTCCTTCTTGTCTTCCTTTTCAGGTAATATATAAAATTCACTCTTGTTGCTGTATAATATTTGCAAACACAACTGCCAGCTGGTTTCAATTATGGATATTTTCATGTGTCTATGGAGTTTGATTTGTTTGTGTATACCTGGAATATTTACATCATCAAGGACTTGTCCCGTTTGAAAAGACCATAAATGGACAATATTAAAATTCGGATAATAGCTGGTGAGTGTGTTTTCAATTTATTATTATTATGTCCATAAAACTAGTTGTGTGGAGTGTGTGTATGTGCAATAAAATGTTGTAAATCCTTCCAAAGGATAGGAATTGTATTTTGTCGACGGTGACGATGTAAAAAAAATGTGATCTGTTTTGAGCAAAAGACGTGAGTCTTTTGGAAGGCGATATATTTTATAGCATGCAATAAAAAAATAGAAACACCTAACAGTATACAGTTTAAAACTGTAGTGTAGCATGCGATACAAATTAAATAATCATTTGGCTGTGAACTTCTGTTATGGGAGACAGATAGTTTTAATATTTATATGTGATTTGAAAATCAATTGATCTTATTGAAATATAATGACTTGGTGGTATCAAACAAAACATTGATTTTCATGCAGTTATACTTTTAAACAAAAAGTAAAGATTGGAGCTTGTCGAAATAATTTTTTTGTGCAACCCATTTAAATACTGGTGGCTAAAAAAACAACATGCGAATTTGGTTGTCCAACTCATGTATTCTGAAACGAGCCCAGGTAGATATGAGATCCTCTGGATAAAATAAACCATGAGCTATATACGACCAAGAATTATTTACATTTTATGATTTGGGTTAGCCTAATATTGCACTGATCACACTTCATATTTCTTCCACACAACAAATTTATTATTTATGTATAAATATTTTACTTTTATTATATACCTATATTCTTGTGTGTTTTTATTATATTATTTCCATTAGATTTTATTGATATTTATTTCAAATGGTCTTTATCTCCGGGAATTACCTTGACTTAAGTTTGGCTGGGAAATTTTTAATATTTATGGTTGAACTTGTGGACAATTTTAATGGTAGTTTCTGATGAAAATTGCAATGAAAATGTAATATCTTTACTAGAATTTTACTATAATTGTTTGATGACCAGAAAATACTTTCGTTTTGTTTTGCCTGATTGTGCATTTTAATGGAGGCAGTATATTCTTAAGAGAAAAATTATTTATTGAAAACTTTGGTGAAAAAATTCAATAGGGCAATTGTGTATGGCTGAATTTTTATGGCCAATTGATCCTGAAACAATATTTATGATGGATAATGAAAATTTTTAAAACAATTTTATGGAAAATCTGTATGGAAATATTTTGTGATGGTCTATTTCAACTATATATATACATATATATATATCTTCTATTAAAAGGAATTATGTAAATTAGTATGAAATAATATATGGAAAAGAATTATGGAAATTAGTATGGAATAATATATGGAAAATTTTATGACCACTTTTACGGAAATTTTTATGAAGAATTTGTATGGAAATTTGATGAAAACTTTTATGACACATTTTTCACAATCATAAAAAATTTTCTGAATGATTTATGAAAAAAATGTTCTGAAATATTTTATGGCTTTCTTTTACGGAAAGACAATTATCTGACAAATTGTGTGGAATCTCATATGGAAATTTTTATAAAAACAATAATATGGGAAATTGTGTATTGAAAATCTTATGGAGAGTTGAACGGACAAATCTTATGAAAATGGATTTTATGGAAAGTCTTATTCAAACTTCTCATAGAAATATTATAATAAATTGTATTCAACATTCAATGGAAGATCTGAAAAAATGTTTACGGATAATTTTTTCCGAAATTATGAGAATTTATTGCCGAATCTTATGAAGAGTTTATTAAAAATTTTAATTGGAAATTTCATGGAACTCCTGATAACAGATGTGGAAATTTTCTGAAGAATTTTCTAGACAATTTTCACATAAATATTAGGGAGAATTTAATGTCAAGTTTTATGGAATATCACATAAAGAATATTATGGAAAATCTTATCAAGGATTTTGTGGAAATTCTTGTATGGAAAATCTTATCAAGAATTTTGTGGAAATTCTTGTGAAAAATTTATTGCACGAATTTATGAAACATTATGGAACAATTTTATGGAACATTTTATAAAAAAAATTAGGGAATAATTTTTATGTTTACATTTGATTAATGTTGACGCAATTTATTATTTGTATTTGTTAAATCTTTATGTGGGCAGGGTATTTTTGGTGATTTTGGTCACCCATTCTCAAATATCATATGGATTGTTTCAAACTTTACATCCTCTGGGCAAACATCACATTGTATTCATCTATGTACTTTTGATTTATGGTCAACACCCATCTCACATACTCATCAAAATTTAGTTTCATGCTTTCTTCATATGACACGGTGGCTTTTAGTTCCAACGTGGGGAACTCCCACACCCTGAGATCAAGAGTCTCATACCGACTGAGATAGCCGGGCAATAAACATGTTTTGTTTGTTATTAATCAGGTACTGCGGATTTGTAGACAATAATTTCTCTGTATAATCATTAATATAATTACAATATAGGTTTAAAAAAATGGACATTCACGACATACATTTTCTTAATCTATATTGCACTTAAATTAAAATATCACAGAGTTTATTGCGTGTTGTTGGTATAATCGTTAGGTGTTGTATAATGGTAGACAATACTCTTTAGGTATAATAAATATAATTACAATATAGGTCAAGAAAAAAAATGGACGCACACGACATTCACTTTCTTAATCTATATTGCACTTAGTTTATTATATCACAGATCTTATTGCAATTCTTCTAGGCTTTAATATCCTTAGCATGAAAATGGCCAAGAGATTTTCCTTGGAGAGTTTCCAACTCATACATATTGTTTCCTATGGGTTTTACCACCCTGCATTTCAAGAATTTCTTGCAGAATTTTGCATTTATATTATTCTTGAAGTCTGACAAAATGTGATTTCTTCGGTAAACTTCTTGTCCTGGTTGAAAGATTATATTTCGTGATCTGTAATTGTATCTTTTTGCACTGGATTGGTATGCCTCATGTAGGTTGTTCTTAATTTTCTGTCGCAGTAATTCGAATTTATCGGCTTTATTTAAGGAAACTATCTGGTGGTCTGATAAAGATCTCAATTTCTTGGCTAATCTGTAGTCTGTTCCGTTAGTGAACATATTGTATCCGAACAGCGCGAAGAATGGGTTTACGCCAGTTGCGGAGTGCACCGATGTTCGTAACGCTTGTTCAATTTCAGACAGGTACAGATCCCAGTCCCTGTGGTCATTTTCGACATATGTCCTTATTGCCGCTAAAACAGACTGGTTCACACGTTCGGACGCATTCGCTTGGGGTGAATAGTAAGCTGTCTTTAGGTGTGTTATTTTATAGTTGTTTATCATTTCCTCGAACAGCTTTGAGACAAACTGTTTTCCATTGTCGCTATGGATTATTTCAGGAACTCCAAATGTATGGAATACCTGATTCTCTAGAAATTTGACCACATTTGTAGCAGTGGCTTCCTTCATTGCGTGTAGGAACGTAAACTTGGTGAAGTGATCCATCACGATAAATATATAAGTGTTACCTCTTTTGGATCTTGGATATTTTCCAAGGAAATCAATGTACAGTTTTTGAAACGGTCTTTCAGTCACGACTTCATTTCCAATCGGCGGTCGCATGATTCGATTTGACGGTTTCGTCTCTTTGCATACTTGACAATTGCTGATGTATTGCCTGACTTGG